AAGAGAAAGGAAAAATTGAAATCGCATCATATGACCCCTTTAAAGGGATTTTGGGTAGTTGTTTTGGGAACAGACCAGATGGCCAACGAACTAAACACTAGTTTGACTAGTAAGGGAGCCCAGCTAGATCAGATGAATACCATTTTAGGCCAGAAAAGACTGGGTTAACCTATTATTGTTATAATTTATGCAATAAAATGTTATTTCATGCTATTTCTCACAGGAGATACAGCGGAGACATGGACTGGCCAATTCAATCTCATCGTACCTGATCAAACCCGTTCAGAGAATCACCAAATACCAGCTTTTGCTGAAGGTGGAGACTCAGTGTTTTTGTTCAGTCTTTACCTGATCTGAATCAGTTTGCTGCACTAAATGGTTGTGTTTGTGTCTCTCTCTGTGTGTGCTGGTTCAAATGTGTTCGTGAACAGGAGTTGCTGACATGCTGTGAGGAAGGGAAAGGAGAAATAAAGGAGGGTTTGGAGGTGATGCTCAGTGTGCCTAAACGTGCTAATGACGCCATGCATGTCAGCATGCTGGAGGGTGAGCGATAATCACGGCAGCTGTACTGAAAACCTAACTGTGTGCAGAAGTGCTTTAAGTCGCAAATAGCTTTTCAAGTATTTTCTTATGAATGATGACTGTCTTGAAAACAGATTATATTTATTTGTTCACAAACGGTTGTTTTTTAACATCATTCATATAATCCGCAAATATTCAACACAAAGTAACGGATTTTTAAAAACTATTTCAACGTTTTTTTTTTCAAAGAGAGAATGCATTTTGCACGATTTTAAAATACAGTTTAAAAAAGAAATACAATTTTGTTTGTTTTTATTTTGTTTTATTTATTATTAACACTCCAATTATTATAAAAAATATTCTTATTAAATATTTATATTTATTTATTTTGCTTGATGAAGCCAGAATCGGAATTTCAGATCGGTGAGTTTTTGATATTTTTGCACTTATGCATTTGTTTATCTGTGTAATTGTTGTTCTGGTTTCAGGTTTTGATGAGAACCTGGCTGTACAGGGGGAGTTGATCCTACAGGACACCTTCCAGGTGTGGGACCCCAAATCTCTGATCCGCAAGGGCCGGGACCGACATCTTTTCCTCTTTGAGATCTCTCTCGTTTTCAGTAAAGAGATGAAAGACTCGTCAGGACGCACCAAATATGTTTACAAGAACAAGCTGTTGGTAAGGAGCTCCAGGATGACACGTTGTCAAGAAGTGTAAACATCATCAACAAAATGAGGTCTTTAGTGCCTTTTTCCCACTTTATTAGTAAGACGTTAGTGGTAGTGTGAATTCAAATGTGTTTTGACAGACATCAGAGTTAGGAGTCTCCGAACACATTGAAGGTGATCCGTGTAAGTTTGCTCTATGGGCCGGCCGGACACCTACATCTGACAACAAAACGGTTCTCAAGGTAAGATGTGCTTTTTTGTATGTCTGTGTGTATCAGTTTCAGATAAACCCAAGAGCAGAAACATAGTGGCCAATGCTAGGAAGAAATTAATATTTTTACCTTTATGAGGGTGCTTTTTAACATGCATTATTGATATTATGACTATTAGAAATTAAAATCATTGCATATGTGATTAATTAAATAGGTTTAACCCTATAAAGCATACGTAAATATTTGATACACACATTTCTAAGGCCTATAAATTATGAACATGATTAAAACTTTGCTGAAAAACATTTTGTAACTTTTTCTTATACATGTTTTACATGTTATACATGCAAGTAAAAAGCCTTTAGTATAATTGTAAAAATGTCCACCTTCAGGTTTTGGTACACATGACTTTTTGCTCTGAAATCTTCACTGAGTTTTATAAAGTAAACGTAAGAATAACTTTTATTTTGTAATATTTCAAGATCAACACTTGCAGCAACTTAGGTTTACTTCCATACAGCATTTTTTTATATTTTTAGAAAAATTATTTTAAAATGAGAGCATCAAATATGATAAATCAGGCTTTTGAGGAGCCTGATTTTGTGTGTTATGCCCCCCCAAACCCCCGAAATAAAACGTGCATAAGTTTATTCTTCTGAATAAAATGTTTATTCCTCTTTGAGTGTGAACTCCACATGATCACTATATCATACTACAGAAGCCATATAAGACAGATATATCAAATATGATATTAAAAAAAGAAACATGGATGCAAACTTTTTTCTAAAGGCTCAATAAACTGTTTAATTGCAAAATTTACTAGTATTTCTTATGTCAGGCTTTACAGGGTTCAAGTGTTTTTTTATGCTGCTACCACGTTTAATAAAATAATGATCATAAATAAATAAGTCAAATATTTGATGATTTGCACAAAGGCCTATTATTTCGTTTTCAGTCCTGAAAGAACTGTGAAAAAACTAAAATAAATGAAAATTGCAGCCCAGTCTGGAATCGATCAAATGTTCTAGAAATTGCAAATTAAAATCCTAACAAATTACATATTAAATCCTAAATATCTTGGGCATGTTTATCATATATACAGTATTTCTCATATTTAGGGGTAATTCTGCTCTAAGTTTTGGTTCATTTCTGACCCTGGTGAACATGATTTGAGCCATTTTACTACTTGAGTGTTTGCAAGTTTAAATCTGGCTGGTGAAATCGTGCATTTTCTCTACTCTGTCGTCTTCTCTCTCTTTTACCCATCCTCTCATCCACCCAAAGGCCTCCAGTATAGAAGTGAAACAGGAGTGGATCCGGAACATCAGGGAAGTGATTCAGGAGAGAACCATCCACCTGAAGGGGGCGCTAAAGGAGCCCATACACCCTCCCAAAACCCCAGCCAGACAGCGCAGCATCAGCAAGAGGTATTTGCCCTCATCCACCTGCTGTCTTCATCCACCTAAAACATAGATTTTTCTTTTTTCTCTGCTCAGTTTTGTCTCTAATCTGTATTGAGAGAATAAATACATCTGTACTCCCAAAATGCACAGCTCTTATCACAGTACTTGCTGTTAAGGGTTTTATTATAGATTGTGTATGTGATTGCAGTGGAAATCAAATTTCTTGTCATATTTATTCTTTCAGGGAAACGACTGAGGACGCAGACAGCCAGGGTGATGCCAGCAGCCAGCCGGACACAATCTCCATCGCTTCCCGCACCTCCCAGAACACTGTAGACAGTGACAAGGTACAACTACACTACAAACACACAATAATAACTCTATGACATCCACTATGTAGACCCTGACACTATATTGCCATTTGGTTTGACTGTGAGGATTTTTAACAATTTTCCTCAAACATAGAGAAACCCCAAAAGCATTGGTTAAGAGCATTGGTATCAAAATTAAGTTCAAGAGAGTTTATATTAATATAACTGAACAACATGCTTTTTTGGTTTATTTTATTTGGTTGATTCCTTGTTTGTGTATGCAGTAGTGGTGCAACGGATCACAAAACTCACGGTTCGGCTCATATTACGGATTTTGAGTCACGGATCGGATCAGCAAAAAAAAAAAAATTAGTGAAAGCTTACTTTAAGTACTTCTATACCACAGCAAAACTACTAGCTTTAATAAAGTTAGTAATAAAACAAGAACAATTACACAAATTACAAGCATAGATGAATACAACAAAACACAGTTACAAATAAAGTCAGTAACAGTAGCATTCAGGTGCAGAAACGTAATAATTAAGTGTAAAATAGCACAATAGTGCTCACTGCACAATCATCTTTGTTAGAGCTGTGGTGTTATTTGATTTGCAGACAGAAATAGGTATTTATTGGCTGCTGTCTCTTTAAGACCAAATGCACGGCCCTAATACTGACACACATCCGTTTTTTTTCTCAGCTGTTTACGTTCACTTAAGACATAACCGACTGTGTTTACTAGAATACTTGCCAAAAGGTTATTTTAACATAACTTTGTGTGTATGTGAAAGAGGAATCAATTCGCTGTTCACGCGGTGTCTCTCTCTCTGCGTGTGTGCGCTTCGGGTGTGCGCGGCAGCGGCTGAGCGCACAGAAGACTATAAAATTGCTTGAATGTGTAAACTGGCAAGACAAAACATGTGCAAATGATAAACTTTAACTCTATGATGGTTAAACTTAACATTTAATCTGCGAATCACATTTGTGCCGAACCGTGCAGCCTGATCCGTACGGATCACGGATCATCTACGATCCGTTGCTCCCCTAGTATGCAGGATTGACTGTGTGAGAATTTTTAAAATTTCTCCTCAAACATAAGAGAAATATGTTGAAATCATATGTGAAAATGTGTGCTTTAAAAGTAATTTCTGTCATATGGGAGTTACTCCCCCTATGGAAAATCTGACTCTCTCATACACACATACGTCTGTTAGACACCAAACAAGTTCATCTGTGGTGTGTGTGTGTGTGTTTGACTATAGAGTTTGGACATGGGTATCAGGGTATGTTCTTATGTATATATATATTATTTATTTTTTTTTTTTTTTAAACAAAAAAAGACTTTTATGCTCACCAAGGCTGCATTTATACAATCAAAATATCTCTTTTCTATTTTCTCTATTCTCTTTCTCTTGTGTAAGTTCATCACTGAGATTTACAGTTTTGCCCAAATTATTTTTGTGTGCAGGATGAGTCATTTTGCTTTCTTTCTTTCACCAACTTTCTTGTGGCCTTCTTTTCGTTATATAATTTTCATCTCTGTCCCACTAAATTTGGTTCTGATTCACTATTATTCCCATCCAGTATGTCAGTGCGGCAAAAATTATATCATCTCTCCTCATCTCTCCCTCTGTCTTTTCTCTGTAATTTTATGATTACTTGCGCCTGCTCTTAACCTCAGGCAAGTCTCTCCGCTCTTGTTTCATTCAACCGTCTAATTACAACCCAAAAAGCTCTGAGTCAAGAGCGGCTCATGTTTCCTAGAAGCACTTTTTCTAACACACTCTGCTGCCAGATCAGTTGTTTTGCGGTGTTCATGTGGTTTAAGTCAGGACACGGACTTGTCTCTGTCTCAGATGACACACCTACTGACCGTTCACTGACTGGCTGACACTGTATGTCACATACAAAATGGCAAGTGTTGGCTACAAAGGGTTTATTTGCAATAGTTGTATACTAACATTAATAGCATCAAATTTTTAAAAGACAATGAAACGTTTGCATAAATAAACATGACATTTGAGCACACCTGCATGTACATCCTGCACAGACATAAGCAAATGAGAAGTCTGACTGTGATTGGTCACTTTATATGTCAGTCAAAGTGAGCCTTTTTTTAGCCAAAATTAACGTGAATGTGAAGCAAACTTAATGCAGATTTAAAATGTATTAAGCTTTTATGGTCTAACAAAGCAACTCAAGCAATCAAGTGATTAGTCATCCGAGCTGGGTTCCGTTACTGATTCCAAATCACATGACAAAAATTGTAATTAGTAATGTAATCCATTACATTACACATTTTAGGTAATATAATCAGGCTACTCTTTGATTACTTTTAGATTACTTTTGACCTAACTCGTTTATCTCATTGATTTAAATAGGATAACCTTATACACTGAATTGATATAAAAATACAAAGAGTAAGAAAATATATTCAATTTAATGTAATTAACAACATGTTAATGAAGTGCATTAACCATTACATTACATCAAGGTTATAAACTAATAATTAATTAAATCATAAAAATGTAAAATTAAAATAAATAATTGTAAAATAACATCAACCAATTAAAACACTTACTAAAAAAATGTCTATTTTATTTGTTTACCTGCATGTCATGTGACCATTAACCAATCAGATCAGAGAAATGTGAACATGTAAATGTGATACTTAATTATTAATTTATTACCTTAAAATCTCACAGGGATATCAAGTAAATATATTAGGCAAAAAAAAGTTCAGCTGACAAAAAAAGTGTGGGATGTAAATAAGAAATTATGTGAATTTCTGCATTTAAATGTGTTTGGCATAGTATACTACATGGTTAAATAACCTACTGAGTAATAATTAAAACAAAGTATTTTAAAATGTAATTTAATCTAGTACTTAACTTTTTGGAATCTGATTACATAAGCAAGATTACATGTAATCTGTTACTACCCAGCTCTGTTAGTCATATAATTACACATATTATTTTAATTTTTCTGTCTGTCTGTCTCTTTTCTGTTAGCGGTCTATCTCTTTGTAGTTATTGTACTGGTAGGGCCTTCTTATGTCATTGTGGTTTGAGGTTTGTGTGTTGTTTGTATGTATAGCTGTGTGTGTGTGGGAGACTCAATGGACATATTAAAATATAGAACTACATATAGGCTTCTCATATTCCCTATTTTTACAGACTAGACATTTCTTGGCTTGTTTGTGTGTCTGGGTAGTGAGGTTTGCCATGCTGTCAGCATTTGTCCAAGAAGTTAACTAAATTTGACATAACCTCCATTTTTACTCAAAGGTAAAAAAAATAAATAATTAAAAAGTAAACCATGTGTTTGCTTTTGTTTATTTTATTCCAAAAGTAAATAAATAAAAATTAGGAGTAGCCTTAAGGTTTGGTTTAGTGTTTAGAAAATACAATTATTTTTTAATAAAAACTGTACATGTCTGTAGTTGGGTTTGTGTGTGTGTCTGTTTAGATATATTCTGTTTGACTTAGAGTTGACACATCAGTTAGTAATGTTTCTTGTTTTCAAAAATACATGAAATCTATGTGCCTGTGTGTGTGTGTGCGTGTGTCTTCCATATGCTCTCTGTCTTTATTATATGTGCACACATACACACACACACACACACACTTCTTCTTCTTTCCTAGTGTTTAGTTTACCCATGCTGTCGCAGGGGTTTCGGTATGTCGCTTTCCACTTCTTCCAGTCTTTCATATCTTTCATCCGGTCCATCCATCTCTTCTTCAGTCGACCACGTGGCCGCCGTCCATCTGGGCTAAAACGCAATGCTCAACACACACACTCACACAAAAACATCTTTGACCTCACTCTTTCCTTGCCCAGTTTGGGGTGTTGCGTCTTCTCATTTAATTTTTCCTTCTCTCTCACTTTTCTGAGTTCTGTTGGAGTCTGTGCTTGTTTTCCTCCACTTTTTCTCAGTCTCTCCCTCTCTCTCCCGCATGGGCAGAACCCTCTCAACACTCAGCTGTGCAGATTTATATGACAGCTCAATAATTGTTCTCCGTACATGCTGAGGATGAGTTCAGTCACTAGCTCTGTGTGAGAATCTGGGAGTGAGAACTTTGGTTAGAGCGTTTTCTACCTGACTGTCGGCCAATCAGAAGGCGGATCTGGTTGGCAGACTGACTTCTGGTTGGTTGGATTGGTGGTACAGATAGAATCATGCCCAGATGGAGGAGTTTCAGACTACCCAAGAGAACCAGACCTGTGAGTACACGTTTCTGATGGGTTTTTGGATATTAGATTATATTGGCTTGTGCTTTTTTTTGTGAAGGAGTTATGTATTAGTGGTAGTTTTTAAGGAGAAATGTGTCTGTTGTCTCTTTCAATATTGTTTGGGATATCGCATAATTGTATGGTTTATTTATGTTTTTAATAATTCATAAAGCAATGTGTTTATTCATTGACTCTCACATGTGTGTTTTCAGTACAATGCCTTAATACCAAGATTGATTTAAATTGCCACTTTTGAAAATTTGTACACAAATAGCTCACCAGTTCCACTGCTATAATATCAAAAAGTGCTTTAATAATGCTGTTTTTGACAGCAGTGGCTATTTAATCAGCCCAACCAGTAACATCACCCTCTGATTTAACAAATACTGTAAGTGTTTTCCCCATAATCTTTCTCAAATTATTTCAAGTGTCTCTGCTGACATTTGCACTTTAAATGTAGGAGTGTACTTGTGGATCTGTCTGCGTTTGTGTGTGTGTGTGTGTGTGTGTGTGTGTGTGTGTGTGTGTGTGCGTGCGTG